AAAGCAAAAGGGTCTTTCAAGGCAGTAATTGGAGCAGATTGGCTTTGGCCATCGCCTGGTGACCTCTTGTCGAGTCCCCTTGGCCAAAGCTCTGGGGCAGTGGCAGAGCCGTTCGTTGCCCCGTGGAAACACCACGTTCCCACAGCGGGGCAGTGCCGGCCACCACAGCAACTCGGGGCCTCCTCGGAGCCCGGCAACCACAGCTCCTTGTGGCCTCCTCAGAGCCCGGCACGAGCTGTGGCCGGGCGGCCTCCTCACAGGACACTGCATGTGCCCTCGAGCCGGGCTAGCGCTCGGGACACGATTCGGAGCATCCTTCGCTTCTCGTTGACTTCAACACAGCGTTCTCCTGGGATCGAGCTCTTCAGCTGTGTAAGTTTGCTTCCTTCAAAGCAAACTTCAGAGTTAGAAGAAAAAATAGCCTTTTTTTTTTCATCTATTCAGGCAGGGTGTTTTCAAAATCTAACAAGGAGAAGACTCTTTATTTTATTTTATCTTTATTTTTACATTTAAAATTGGAAGTACCCTTTCATAGGTGGAGCCTGTGAGCCTGGACACCGTGAATTGCACGTTCCTCCCCTCACCAAACAGCTTAAATAGAGGCACAAAATGAAGGAAATCTGTTTAAAGTGGAAAAAACAAAACAAAACCAAACAAAAAAACAGATCCTATTGGATTTATCATTCTAGCAAATGGGGAAATATTCAGTTTAAACTTCTATTTATTTTACCCTATAGCAATTGCTTGAAAAAGTAAAGTTTCTATTTCTCTGTCCATCTCCCTGGACTATATCTTTGCAAGTCTGGCAAGACAATACAGCCAATGAAAGAAATACAAAAATATGTAAGAATCTGCATGAAATATCAAAAAAAAAAGAAAAATCCTTTACTCCGTTTTACCCTTTACTATTTCAAAGATGCCACAGGACTACAGGTGTGACTGACAAAAACAGAGTTTCACTATAGGGTTTCTCATGGATCAGCATCCCTGACCATGAGATGGGATAATCCACACAGAGTGAAATATGAATCCAGGTATGTCATTTTGTTGTAATATTTGTTGCTTTGTTCATGAAGATGGAGTAAATACGGAACATAATTTTCATGATCACAGCATAGAAGAAAGAAGTGGACTGCTCACCATATTTATGATCACTTCATTTTTTTAACAGGATACCTGTAAAATCAAACTTTTTATTTCCTCTAAAATTTCTAGTCTGACTTGGTAAAAATAAAAAGCCGACGTTCTCAATTTGTTCTTAGAGGTTGTAGGTAGTTAGCATCTTTATGGACTCCACAACCTAAACAAGCAGAAGTTGAATAATTTATGGTAAATGGAACATCTTCTGTCAACAGCATTACAATGTACATTAGAAATATACTTTCCTGCCTGGAGCTGTTTGATTATTTATTCTGGAATTCTCATTAGCGATGCCTTTGGTAACCCCAGCCTGTGTGCAATGGCTACTTTTTATTTGTTTTCACTTCTGAATTAATTGGAAATAATCCATCCACTTGCACTTCTGTAGGGTGGAGGATGGAGGGGGCGTGCTGTGGGTCTTCTCATGCCAGGCAAAACCTCCCAGAACGGCCACGGTTTTGTCCTGCCGGGACCGCAGAACGCACCTCCTCACCCCCTGCATGATGCTGAGGGCAGCTTTCTCCTGCAGGTCCAATCTGTGCCTGCATTCAAATGGGTAGGTCGAGAAATGAAGTGTCAGGGGTGAAGTTTGAGGTGTCAGAGCTCAGGCATTCCTTGTGCTACACACCAGTCACCAACTATTAATCATAGTCTGTCTGTATGCTCACAAGATGAGAACGAGGTGCTAAAGGGCTTATTATTAACTCTTGTTTTCTCTGAACATTAGAACTGTACAAAGCCAGATGAGAAAACAGATACACGTTTAAGTAACTAGGGAAGCTACTTTTTTTCCCCCCCATGTTTCCCAGTATCTTCAAATCAAGATGGAACATTCTGCTAGAAAACACACTTTAGTTCAAGCCATATTGCTGAATTTAATGCAGCAGTGGCATTTAGCAACTTCTCAGATCTCAGAGCATTTAGGCACTTTTAGCCTGATGTTCTGAGTTTGCACAGGGGCAGCCTGCACTTGAATTGCCCAGATAAACAACCCTCCATGCGCTGCATTCTTCCATGTGCACATCTGGCGAGTCCTTCATTGCTCCTAATCAGGATGCAGATTCTTGGAAAATTACTTCTTTGACAGCAACTGTAACAAGAAACCAAATTAAAACAAGAACAGAGACTCCCACTGAGACTTGTATTGGGAACACAATAAAAGATCTGCAAGCTGTGTTCTGCTTTTCTTCCCCTCAGCATCCCTGAATCTTCTGATTCCAGAGGAGTTGCCCAGGCCTCTGTCATTACAGGCACAAGTGGGTACACACCAGAGACTAAAAGTAACTTCCCAGTCGATATTACTACTAGATCTGTCCTCACTTACTAATACTACTGTATGTTTGGAAAAGCTCTTTAAAGAAACATTTAAACAGTGTGTGTATCCCATCTCCCTAGCTCTGCATCATTTGTGAGTTAGCAGTGGTCAGGATACAGGACTCCTTTCTTCTTTAGTTAACTGCCTGACTCCATTTAACAGTAAGAAGAGTTAACTAAAAACATTCCCATTCAATTATACTTAGTCCAGTTCAACTCTAATCAACACTATCATAAATATGGACTAAATCGACTGAAGTGAGTTGACCAAAACCTGTGTTTGCTTAAACTTTTCTCAAGTAAAAAGAACCCCTCCAATATGAGAGGAGACAGAAAGGGGAAGCCAAGGGTCTTTCCAAAAATAAGCAAAGTCTAGATGTTAAATCCACAGCGGTGTAAATCTTAACCACCATTAGCATTAACTATTCTGAACAAATCACAAACATCTGTTTATTAAATAATTGCAATTTAGGAACCTTTTTTTTTTCAGGTGGAGAATGTTCAATAAAAATTGCCAAGCCCAATATTAGTGTATGTCGTTGTTGCTTTCCCTTGCATACAAAAATTGACTTTTTTTTTAATTGCTGCAGTTCTACAAGATAAGGCAGAACCTACTTGTGTTCGAAAGCACATTCTCAGGCATGATCACGCATATGCTTTGTGCCCATTGGAACTGGACTCACTGAACTAACAAGTTGACAAATTATTTACCCGTTCCTTATTATCCAGCCAGATGGACTAGTTGGAGGAAAAATAATTCTCTGTGTTTCAGGTTTTGACAGCTACTGATTAAGGGCCAAACCCCCTAGCTGACAAGGGAATAGTTTACATGACCAGGACTTAAACTTTCAAACAGCTGCCCCTCTTTTTTTCACAGGGAGAACGTGAGCTGTGATTGACCTCCTTACAACGATCCGCTGTGATTTGGACACAGCCAATAAAGCTGGAATCATAAAATGATTGTTTTTGCTGAGCACAAATACAGAAACAGCCTTCTGTTACTGAAGCTGCTTTAAAAGCTGAAATACAGCATTATTTTCTGCTGCCTTGTGGTCTATAAGCATTACAGCAGGAAAAAAAAATATCTGAAAGCCTACAAAGACACAGCCACCTTCCCGAAGAAGGGAATGTTGCATCTCTGTTCCACACAAGCACCTAATGGCTCCCTCCTCTGTGCAAGGCACACACTATAGACACCACCCATTAGCTCTTCTCCATAAAGCATAATTGTACCAGACCCCCAGAGCATGAATCTGTGCAATTCCAGGGAATTGCACTGGAGGATGTGCTCTGTCTCTGTGAGACCTACCAAGCTTCTTGCATAAGACACCACCACCCTCTCAGCCATTCGTGGAGTCCCTTTACTGAGGTTGAAGTAAAACCAGTAACTCTAATCATGCGTTTGGTTGTTGTGGATCCCGGCTGGCTGGGAATCATTGGAGATAAACATCTCATTTCAAGTAGGCCACTGAGCAGATGGTAATGACTTTAATCACTAGCAACACAAGACAAATCTCAAATAACGCCCTCAGATGAACGGTTTGGTACATCCTTCTCACCATTTTGAATGCTAATAGCACTGCCCTATAAAAGAGAGAATATGTGATTTATGTACATATATGCCTCTTGCTGAGCCACTGAAATACTGATGGTCACTGACAGCTTTTCACATCCCTCAATTTGAGGCCTTACCCAATGCCCTCTGAAGTCAAAACAACCTTTCTTTTTCCTTCCTAAGTCTTCCAAGTGTCCATCTGCTGCAACAATGACAGGATTTTAGCTGTTGAAAGAGAAGTTTGTGAGACCTACCAGAATTTGCTGCTGGCTACTTAAAATGAGAATAAGGGGTATTTTCTTTAGTTAGTTGAAAACACTGTCCTTAAATGCAAACAAATTAGCTATTTGCAATTTGTGAAAGCAATAGTGGGGATCAGATACCGACTTTCAGCTTATGTCCTATCTGTGTCAGGGTAATTACCATGGATAAATCATTTTAGACAAATCTCTGCTTCAGTCACTTCCTAAAAGGCAATGCAGGGAAGTTTCTCATAGGCCTTGTCTGCTGCCACATGACTGGAAAAGCTGAGGTGTTTTTCTTTGTATTAATGACTTCTTTATGCTGATGGTGGTGCGCCCATTTTGGCCTAATCTCTCCCTGATCCTTTGCAGTGTTTTCAGAGCAGTCTGATGACCTAAAGACAGTGCTGGGCAAGACCGTGTGACAGGACATCTTTTCAATCCTTTCGTGGGAACCTCCTTTGCAGGAAGCTCGGTAGACTACTTCTTAATAGTAATGTTTACACAGTTTGGCCTGAGCTTTCTGACAGGGCAATCTGATTTTAAGCTCTTTTCTGCAGGGAATTTGTGAGAATGGTTTTCAAATGGTTAGGTTAGCCTGCCTAAACCAGACCTGCAACAGAAACTCCATGGCAGTTTGCAGTGTGTGAGCCCTGCTTTGCCCTAAATCTGAATTTCACACAAGTCAGCAGTGACCTTCCCACTGATGTTTCACCCACACTTGGTTTTGCCCTTTTTTCCCTTGGGGCAGGATGCTGACACCTGGCTTCCTTGTCCTCCAGCGACGGCCTCATGTGCCAATCACCCTCACAACTTAAAGTAGTCGCAAATATTTCCCCAGCCAAAAGAGGACTAAGTGAAGAAGGTATATAATTGAAATCTTATCTGTTCCTAGCAATGAATAGGGAAGATGAAGGAAACAGCTCTTGCTGCCTTTCTCAAGAGTAGATGCCTTGGGAGGGTTGTTGGGGAAATCAGTGTCTCCATGTCAGGTCTGAGGAGGAAATGCCACTTCTGCTGTGATCTGCGCGTGTGACCAGGGTGTCGGGACACCTGGACAAAGTCTACGTGAGGCCGACTTTCCCCTCAGGTGCAACCATTGAGGACCCAACAGCTGAGGGAACTGATGAGAAAACTGCATTTGTGCTTCATACAAGCCATGTAACCAGCACCCACAGGCACGACGTTTGGGGAATCAAACAGCCAGCGCTCTCTAAGATGACACAAATCCCAAATCCAGCCCTGCATGATAGCCTGGGAGATTTTCCTTTCGGCAGTAAAGAGAGCCCCGCAGGCGCCTGGGCGCGCTCCTTACAGCGGCCCCCGCCTGCCCGCGAATTGATTGCCGCCAGCTGGAGCTCATGGCTCCTATCCAAGGCTCAGGCCATAATCCCACGGGTGCGGAGCCTCCCATCCATGGTCGCTCCCAGAGGCCGCGCGGCCAGGCCCGATCCCCGGACTACGTTTCCCAGCGGCGCCCGGCGGGAGGCGGGCGGAGGCGGGGCGGCCCCGCGTGGCGGCCCCGCG